ATACAGCCAAGCATGGTGACTCACGCCTTTAATCCCAAAAAGTGAGTCTTTAATCCCAGGAAGTGGTGGTAGAAAGCAGAAAGGTATATAAGGCGTGAGGACCAGAACCTAGAAGCATTTGGCTGGTTAAGCTTTCAGGCTTCTAGCAGCACAGTTCGGCTGAGAGTCATTCGGATATGAGGACACAGAGGCTTCCAGTCTGAGGAAACAAGATTGGCTGAGAAGTTGGCCAGGTGAGGTTAGCTGTGGCCTGTTCTGTCTCTCTGATCTTCCAGTTCACCCCAATACTTGGCTCCAGGTTTGTTTTTATTAATAAGAACTTTTAAGATTCATGCTACAGTGGAATGTAATATAGAAAATCAAGCAAACAAACAAAAAAAACAAACCCTAAATCCGTAATAAAAACCAATGCTTTCTACTATAAGTTTATGGATAAGGAATTTAAATATTGTATATAAGTATAAGTATATACTTAAATAAGTATATAAGAAATATTCATTCCTTTACCTCTCATTTACCTTTTCCGGCTAAGCACTCTGTAAGCCATAGGTCCTATTCAAATGTCAACTCTACTTTTTGTAAGTGTTGTTTTGTTTTTTGCAGTGTGAGGTGAGTGGATTTGACTTGGACTTTGAAGGCAAACAGACTGGATCAAATCCTGATTCTGTTTACTAGTGTGCGTTGTTCGGCTCCCCAACCGAGCATCCCCCTGCTCCGAAGAATGGAGTAACACCTTATAGTAAACAGTCTTTCTTAACCTCCTCCCTAACTGTATACACCTGGAAACTCTCTCCTCTCCCTTCCTTCCCCACACCCCACCTGATCCTTTTGTTTGAGGCAGGTTCTTGCTGTGTAGTCCAGCCTAACTTTAAACTTGAAATCCTCCTTACTCAGCCTTTGTAGTGCTCCAGGTACAGGTAGTGCTCCAGTTACAGGTAGTGCTCCAGTAAGGCCACAGAGTATATTCACCTCAAAGGCTGTTGCTGCCCACAGCAAGCTGTGACCAGATCAGGAAGACAGTGTCATCCAATCAGCTGCTTTGCCATCCTTGGGATGGAGGAGTCAGCACAGGAGTACCCTGAGATACTTAGGCCACACTCTTTGGGCATTTTACTTATTTGGTTTTGGAGGGGGGAATATAAAACTATCCAAATCATAATTATCAAATAATGTCTTAGTTCCCCATCCTTGTCCAGATCAAAGGTAAACAGACAAGCTGCTCACTTGGTGCCCATCTTTATGTTCAAATACTTCTTAAAAGAGTGGTGTGTGTGTGTGTGTGTGTGTGTGTGTGTGTGTGTGTGTGTGTGAGAGAGAGAGAGAGAGAGAGAGAGAGAGAGAGAGAGAGAAACTACAATCATTTTATATTCTTCTCAACTAATCATTTTGATGACCTTAGAAAGTCTTGCAATATTTAAGGAAAAGTACCATTGACATTTAAGTGTGTGTGTGTGTGTGTGTGTGTGTGTGTGTGTAATATTGACCTACATTTCTCAATCTGACACTCAGAACTACTCTTATTGTAAACGAGATTATTGTTGTGGGGCTGTCTTGTAGGACAAACTGCTTTTAGATGACTTCAGTTTTTTCTGTAAGAATCTATGACATTTAAGTCTAAGTGCTGCTTAGAATAAGTGGCCAAAGGCGTAGTATGTGGGAAAATAACTTATGTATGGTTATGTTATTATTTCTGGCTTTTAGGAATTGGTCTTATCTAAACACAGTTGTTCAATGTTTATTGAATTTGCCTTTACACACACACACACACACACACACACACACACGTAATTATGATTTGACCTTTTAAAACCATCATCTATATAAAATAGGTTGTTGTATTCCAGGCCCAGTTATCTGAAGATATCTAATCTAGAATGAAATGTACATATATTTATATGAACTCAAGGGCATGAGATGGGAGGTACAGAGTAGAAGCTAAAATCTGGCACCTGGCCTACTTGACACTGTCATTATCCATTCCAGTCATTGTGAAACTGTTTGCATAACACGAAATAAGTACAGTTTCTTTTTAAGTTTTAGTTTTTTAAATTTATTTCACATGCATTGGTGCTTTGCTTATATGTATGTCTGTGTGAGGGTGCCAGATCCCCTGGAACTGGAGTTACAGACAGTTGTGAGCTGCCATGTAGGTACTGGGAATTGAACCAGTCCTCTGGAAGAGCAGCCAATGCTCTTAACCACTGAGCCATCTCTCCAACCCCTCCTAGTTTTAGGTTTTAAATGGAAAGTTCCATGATTTAAAATGTCTAGTAACTTGGAATGAAAAGCACATGGATTACAAATGTGTAGACTAAGCCCCACTTTCAGAACAAAGGAAACCATTTCTGTCTGGAAATTGACCTACTCTTACTCTTTCCTACTCCCTGGGCGGCAAATCTATATCCTTCACAGGGAAACCATCCTTTACTTCCCTCTAGCAGATAGATGTCAACACTAAGAGCTACAAGATTAGCCACATAGTGACACCAATCATAGAGAATGGATGTGGACTCCATTGTATCTGCTTTCACAGCGTTGGGAATTTTCACAGTAAAAGGCTACTTTTTAACCATGTTTGTAAGAGTTAAGTCTGCGAGGTGCAGATTTAGCCCTTCCTGTCCCAGCCCATCACCTTGGTACCCGTATCTTCTTCCCCAGCATCTCATTAGGAAGAAAATATTGCGGGGGATAGGGAGTTTACCTATGCGTTCAGCATCCCAGCCTTCATGTTCTGGGGGAAATGGCTTCTAAAGCCATTATGTCTTGCTCCCACATCTTCTACAATTTCCTACCGGTCTTCATCACTTGCTGGTCTTCCTAACTACATGAAAACAAGCAGATTTCTATTTTTCGAAAATCTAAATAAACTAAAAAAAGGAAGTAGGTGTGTGACGTCAGCACATGAGAGCAGGAGGCTCAGGAGTTCAAGGCTATCTTTGGCTAATCAGTAAATCTGTGGCCAGCCCGAGCCACTTGAAACCCTGTCTCAAACAACGAAACGGCTGAGCTTTGCATTTTCATTAAGATAAGAGCACACCCCAACAGCATGAGTTCAAATACTCCACAGTGCAAACACATTTACATGTCCTCAGCTCTTTTAGCAGCACTGGCATCAGACAATGCTTAGGATGAAAGGGAAACCTAACCTCCAGACTCACTCATAACAAGTGAGAAGGTAGATGTCCCTTGACCGTAAACACATCGTGCAAACCTATGAAATCCTGTCCCTTGGGCCTCTTCCATCCCAGGAACCAGGACAGGTCCTTGTGTCTGAACAAATGCCAAGTACAATTCAAATGGAGGGTAAAAACCAAATCCCTTCCACGTCATTTGTTCTTTGCTACCATATACACTGTAGGAATGGCTGTTTTGCACCAATTGCGAAATTTAAGACACAGCTTGAAGTTCTTCCCTAGTAAACCTGAAGACTTTGGAGAAAGGGTGTGTCAAAGGAGGTGTGCACAGCAAGCGGTATCACACCCGGAATTCCACAGAGGGCTGCCAACCGGACCTCACCTAGGCTGTGCTGTAGCAGAAAGCAAGCAGCCTGAAGTCACAGTTCGGATCCCCACAGGGGTAGTTGGCATTTTATTGGGTCTCAGTGACCTCCTTGGAAAAAACACAAAACAAAAACCCGGTAACTAGGTCCGTTCTCCGGCTTCCCCAGGAAACTGAAGTGTGTGGCCGATGCAGCCCAGGGTAACTTATTAAAACCCACTGGAGGCCACCAGGCGCTACTATCTCAGGCCTAGGGAGGTGGCGTCCCCGGGGCACACCGCGCCTCCGCTTCCCTCCCAGGCTCTCAGCCAAGCCGCCAACGGGGAGACGTAATCGCGTGACGCCCGAGGAACGACGCGCAGCCGGGACCTGCGTCGTCTGAAACGGCTGCCACGACAACGACCTTCCTGCGGGAACGGCGGCGGCGCAGCCTCTGCCGGGGACCAGACCCCCACCGGGCGAGCCGCCCGCGCAGAGTGCTGAGTCACGGTGAGGCGGCACGGCGCGCCCGAGGGGGGCGGTCCGGCGGTCACGTGGCCAGCGCTCCCACAACAACGGCGGGCGTGCGAGCGAGCGAGCGAGCGAGCCGGCGAGCCGGGCGAGCGACGACGCCCCGGCGCGGCCAGGGGACCCCCCCGCGCCAGCTCCGCGGCCGGGTTTTCCCGCGGCCGGTGGGCGGGGCCTGGGCGCGCGCGCGCGCTGGCGCGGTGGGCGCGCGGAATTTGCGCGCCCTGCTGGGTGTCCCCCAAGACCCAGAGAGGTTCGGGTGCGCCTGGGATCGTGGCGGAGGGAGGGGAGAGCTGGTTCTGCAAGCTGGGAGCTTTCTCTCCCTTTCGCATCCCCGCCTTCTCCTCCGGGGACTCGCGGCCGGCTGAAAACGACGCTCCCCAGCTGAAACCCTGCCGGCCGGTATTCCGCACGGTGCAAGCCTGCAGACGTGCAGGTGCAAAGAAATGCACACGGGCCGAAGGGAGCCGCTGGCCGAACGTTGATTTCCCGGTGGTGCCTCTTTTTCTTTTTGAGCACAGCTAAAGGCGCTGCCGGGGAGAATGACTTAAAATTTGGCACGTCTCTCCAGTGGCGCCACCGTGTCTGTGCCTAAGTTATGGTTCGGAGCTCTGAGACCCTCGCATGCGGGGTGAATGATCAAAATTCAGACATAGGGCTAGAGAGCTTCCCTAAGCGATGGTGAACCCCAGTCCAGTGCAGGCCAACTCAGATCACCGAGTAAATCCCCAGTACGTTCGGGATCGCGTTGGAATTTGACTATGTTAGAACTTGTAGGTTACTGAACCGCGCAGATCTGCTTCCTCCTGACACTTGAGTTGACATTCTCCCTGGAGACCACTTCATGGTCTCTCTGTGAGAAAACAGCAGGTGTGTGGAGAAAGCACTTTCTAATGTGTAAACAAGTCTACACCAGCTCTTTCAACGAAGTGGAGTGCGGGCCGCATGTCAAACTTTTCAGAAGCCACCTTAAAGATCTGAAAAGAAACTGGGGGAGCAACGTAAATAATGTGCTATTTATTTTAACCAAACATCTGAAATCTATTAGGTCAACATGTAATTAATATTTAGCGAGATATTTTTATTTTTGTAGTAAGTCTTCGAATCTAGTCTCAGGGTCACTAAATTTTCATCGGAGGATTTAATTTGCATTTCGATTCCATAAAAATGTACAGTTGAAAATTCAGTAAGTTCACATTCCGAACTTGTTCCTGATTTATGCGTAAGTGTCCCTGTTACCAAGTGAAAGATGAAATGTTGGCGGGTTAGTTGTCTTCCTCTATCCCAGGCTGGCCTCAAGTCTGTGGTAGTTCAGTCACAACCGGGTTAGTTGTCTTCCTCTATCCCAGGCTGGCCTCAAGTCTGTGGTAGTTCAGTCACAACTTCAGACGGGGAGGTTTACAGACATGAGACACAACTGCCAGCTGAAACCCATTTGAAACATATTGAGAACAATTAAGTTTAATACAACTAAAAATCCACTTTTTAGAGTCCTGTCAGTGGCACTCCCAATGCTTAATAACCACTCGAGGCCAGTGGCTATTGTGCTGAATCATGCAGGTGTATGAAAATGTGGGGTGAGACTTTGAGAATAACCAAATGATCATTGGGATAGTTTACATGCAGGTGAAACAGCTCCCCCCCACCACTCCCATACCAGCTCATTCCAGAGAAACTAACACTTATTAAGCACCAGTCTATATCGAGTACTCTTCTAGAAGTACAACACACACACACACTTCATCTCTACTCCAAAGAAAGCCGCTACCTAACATATATAGTGTATACGCAGAGGTGTCTACAAATTCAGGCACAATACAGAGTAACCCGGACGCAAAGGAGTGTGTCAGCTGGAGAATCTCAGTCATGCAGACAAAAAAGGAAGAATGAACGGAGGACCAGAGCATAGTAGTTAAGGACTATCCATACACATGAAGGGTCGGGGTTAGTGAGCAGCGGAGGTTGAGTGAGTGGGGGAAAGTTTGACTGAGTTTTTTATTATTATTATTTCAGCTATGTGTTAGAGATAGACACCGTTGTCTGTCTCCTCAGTTTTAGATCTCATCTAACCTATGCGCATGCCCACTCACATACATCCCACTGTGGAAATCACAGCCATACCTCCAATATCCATGGCCTCAAGCTCTTTGATGGGCCCATTCAATATAAAGGCAGTGAGAAATATTCTTATCATGCTTTCATTGATCGGTGTTTATTAAATGTGATTAGTGTTTATTAAATATTAACTCTAAGACAAGTGTAGAAATTCATACCTATAATTCCAGAACTCAGGAGGGTGAGCCAAGATGAACTCCAGGCAGTCAAAGCCAGGTCAGGTTACATAGTGAGATCTTGTCTCTAAATAAGTACATAATAAAAATGTAACTACAGTCAAGGAGAAAGAGTGTAATAAATGTTTTCTGCCCTCTGTCCATGAATGGATCATCTAGTTACTGCATATTTTTATCCAGTTGCAAAACATTAATCGAACAATTATTCCAGTGCAAGGTGCCACCTTACCTTCATTCCCACCAAATCCAGTTCCTAGTGCCTATCTATAGAAGGTATGGTAGAGCTCTCCTGAGCACTTTCTGACCGGTGCTGGATCAATCTTAGGTTCTGATGGTGGGGGAACTTCTGAAGACAACTCCCCACACTGCCCACTTGGACATAGTCACAAGACTCTTCTGCATAATAAATGATGTTTGTGCCAACCAGATCCGTTGGCAAATAGTTAACTTAGAGGATTTGCAATGATTGCATACATACGCCAAACCCCTTTGTAGACACATGAATTCATGTAAATAACCAGCAGTCAACTCCATGTACATCCATGCCATGTGGAGTTGTACAACACCCACTAAAAAGTATTACTCGAACTTTATACATAGAGTTGAGCAGGCATTTCAGCTGACTCCCGAGTTAATTTTTTTTCCATCTCTCACCGTTTTGTAAGCATGAGGCCCTTCCCACCTAAAAACTAATCTGGTCGGCTTTTCATTAATTCAAACAATCGTGCTTTTTTTTCTTTTTTTCTTTTTTCTTGACCCGGATTTTATCTCTTGGGACTAAGACTTCCCTGTCCTTATTCGCCGCTAGCCAGGCCACCCGCGGACGCCCACGGCCTCA